TGTACGTATCGCTCAGAGGTGGCCATTACATAATTTTTAGCAATGCATATGTATATACAGACACGTATAGATACATATAGACATCTAGAATTTTGCTTCACCGAATTTCTATATTTCCACACACAAGAACGCGGCGAGAACTTAACACACAAATATATAGATGTACGGTATATATGTGCATTTGATATACGGTGTAGATGAATTTTTCGGGTTTTTTATTTTGTTTTTCTTATTTTTTTTTCTTGATTATTTTCTAATTCTTTTTCAGTCTCTACACAGACACCGAAATAAGAGAGAGAAATTCTCGTAGATTTGGCGCACACGCATTTCGTTCGTATTTGCCTGATAGGAATTTTTTAGCGACTTGATTCCAAGACCGATCCCGATCCGAAACGATCCAATCCGATGCGATCCGGTGCGATCCTTACCTCCAAGCGGGAGAGCGAGCTCAGGTCCTGGATGTATTCGATGTTCACATCGGCGGCACCGGGTCCGGTTGAGGTGGCCCGGTAGGAGTATTTCGAGGAGCGGACAGCCTGCGATGACGACATGTTGCTAGGTCAGATTTTCGATTCTGGTTGTCTAAATTAATTTGCGATCGGTTCGCGTATCTAATATTATGATTTGTATATCCTCTCAAGCGAAAATCTCTACAGCACCGCACGCAGTTTTGTAGTTGTCACCGAGTCACCGAGAAAATTCGTAATAAACGTCGGAGTAAGGCTGGTGATCTACTGAACAAGAGATCCCGTTGTCGTTCGAATAAAGAGTATTTCGTTGATTTGGCCGCCGGTCGCTGGTGGATTCGTCTATTTCAACGATTTCTTCGGCTCCCTTCGGCCAAATTCGTGGTCCATCGGCTCCTCTCCGATCTGAGTGGGATATATCTTCCTCTATATGAATATATACAAATATACAAATATATATATATATATATCTATCCCCCTGTGAGTGGGACTTTCGAGTGACTTTTCACGCGGCCCGTGTTGTTGTGTTAATTGCTCTGTTGTGTGGAAAATTATTTGATTTTTACATTTTGGCCGCCGCTTGTGTGAACGCATTTTCACGCTAGTTTGGCGGAGAGCTTGCCCCCTACGAAAATAAACTCAAAAACACGAAGTACGCGTGCTTTTCTTTTCTTTTGCTTACCTGTAATTAGCCTGTGTCATTTGTGCGTTTCATTTTGTGTATCTAGCGTCTGGCCAGAATGTATCTACACATAAATTTTCCCAATTCTCGCCCCGTACATATAAGTCATGTTGAAATATTTGGCATCTTCTGCAGATCATAAAGTTCATAATTTATATTTATTGGCCAATTTTGTTGGTTCAGGGGCCGTGGCTATATTTTATTGTTTGCCCACACGGCAAAACAATATTCCAGCACGTAGTCCCTTGATAATGGTTTTTTAGTTCTGTATTAATGGTATTGTACCCCAATTCTGGGGGTTTCAAACAGCTAGATAATGTCCGACTGACGTGACTATTTGATTTGTGAAACATTTCTACGTTTAGTTGCTTTGGCTTAAATTAAAATTTCTGTAAACTTTGTTTTGTAAATTTATTTCATCTAAGTCCAGTTAAAATAATTAACAGAAAAGTTTATAGACTACAAGCTCCCTGCATTCCCATGAGATTCCATAGAAATGGTTTTAAGTCGTGTATAGGTTCCCTGTTCTAAATTAACCAAAACAAAATTTAAAAATAAATATTTCTTCAGTTTTGTATTTATAGTGATGTTCTTCTTTATAATACTAATTGGCAACTTGATTGAATCAATATTTATTTCATTAGCTTTAGAAAAATATGCAAATATACAACTGATGGCCAATTATATATCCTACCAAAGATCTGTATATCGTATACTTAAAGGTGTTACAACACTTTTAAGCCCTCTGAAAAATCATAAAAGTGTCAAAATTTTCTATGATGTGCTTTTAAAAATATTCGCTAACAGCCAATTAGGATTACAGCAATGTTTTCTAAAAATACTTGACTTTTGGCATCGAAATGTGTTATTTGCCAGCATAAATAAATAAGCGTAGAGAGCGCAAAAAAAGTGTGCGAAATAAACAAAAATATACAATTTTGAGTGAATCCTTGGCCATGCGGACAACAGTCTGCTCAACCTCAGACAATGCGTTGTCATCTAACAATTGTTATTCAATGGTCACGTAGATGACTTTCTCAGTATATATATGTATTTTGGCAACTGACGTGTTTTCCTCCATATGCATATAGTAAATATATATTTTGTAAATTATTTTGTAACATTTTGAGTGGACTTTTTGGCTCAGTTTTCCAAAGGAGCCGAAGCTTTTCGAGTGAAAATTTGGTTCGTTTCTCGAGCGATCTCCTCCACCTGTGCTCCACACAGCAACACATACACGCCCCACTACACTTAAAAATGATTTTTCGCTTATTTTTAGCAACCGAATTTCACGTTATTTCTGCCTTTTTTTTCAACTTGCTCATAATCGTGTTCATTTTCCACACTCATTTCACCTGAGGCTAACACACACAACTACAAGTCTAGATGGGCTTATATATAGGAGCAGTTTTTTGCTCCGTTCACATTGGTATCTTGTAGATACTTAGCTCTGGCTGGCCATAACTTTATTTATTTTATGCATCCATATATACAATGTTGCCGCTACTCTGTATATATAAGTACGCGCCAGGCAGCCGTAGAATAATATTTAACATTTTGTGTGTTTGCCACATTTTGGAATGTGTAATAATTTAAAAATAACCTGGCGAATATGTAGCAAGCCGTTCGCCGATAAATAAGTCAGCCAAAAATAGAACCAAGCCAGACAACGACACCTTTAGTCAAAAAAAGAGTCCCATTCTCATCACGATTTGGGTTCGGAATGGGCAAATCTCTGGTGATGATGATGCTTCCTCGCCAGGTGTCTGTGTGAGTTTTCCGGCCCATTGCCCATCATTTTACAGCTGCACTGAGGTCAGTGATGGGGACAGGATCCCCAGTCCCAGTGCCATTCCCATTCCCATTTCCCTACCTCCACCTCAAGACAGAAATCACTCAGCGAACGCTGGGTGTCTTCTATTTCTTTCATGTTTCGTGTGCCAGCATAGAAAATTAGGTCAAAATTGTTATGATCACAGATACACACGCACACAACTTGCAGTCCGCTGCCATGCAGTTAAATATAGATCGACTTCAGCTTTATAGAGTGTGTGCCTGCTTGACGGGCAGCCACTTTCTGCAAGATACTCCTCTCGGCCCAGGAGTGCCCAGCAAAGTGGATTGGCTGCCAGATAAGCTCAAGTGGGCGCCATTCGCGGCTCCAACTAGGTGGGTGGTGCTGAAAACAAAATTCCCAGCCATCAGCCGGTAAAAATAGACCCCTAATGCATTCGAAAGCAATCAACAAAGGGTCTAATGCGTTGCATTTCCCTGGAAAATCTAAGACTTTGCTTCCCGGTTCTTAAGTTTTTCGCGAATTTTCCATTTTCCTGTTCGCCATTTGGCGTTGACAACTTCCAATTATCTTACTGATGATTCACAAACGCTGCTCTCATAATGTCAATAGCCATTGTATGGCCCGTGGAAATGTGCCGTTGACAAATCTGGGATTTCGCACCCACTATCCGTTGGCCATATAGCTATAGGCTATAGGCTATATAGCCATATAGCATCGACATCGGGCTGTGACGTGGCGCACAACATCTGACTCATTCGGATGAAAAATACGGCAAACATGCTAAGATATATACTGAACAAGATATATGGGTTGGTGGGTGCAAGAAAGCGTGAAATATTCTATAATATTTCGAGCCGATCTAGCTCAAGAGTTGTACTCAAAATTTAACTACAAAAGGTAAACCAACATTTTAAGAAGAACAATATTGATATTTAATTAATAATATAACACCTTTCTCCATGAGTGATAAAGAAAAGCTTACGAAAGAACGTAATCTGTTTATAAATAGATTCTGCATTTATAAATAGACAGACGAAATTAAACTACTACTACTAACATATTTAGCTATATTTTCTATCTACACATTTACTCTTTCCCTTGCATGTTGATCTTACCAATGAAATGAGGTGTTGACAGAATTATTCCATGCCAAAGTTTCATTAACGTTATATGCAACTTGTCGGCCCATTAAAATTTGGTGTTTTCTACAATCATTATAATTTCAGCATGCAAATTTTAGTACTTTTAAAATATAGAATGTCTCAGTTTTTCAAAGAGTATTTAAACTTCGTTAATCTGCCTTTTGGTTTTGGCTAAGCGATTAATCATCAAAAATATTTGCAGACCGTGATGCTAAATGCTATCGAGACTTAATTAATTCCGCTAAAGAAAAAATTACATTTGACGTTTTAAATTAAATTTATTTGTAGATGTAGCTGTGCGCTAAATATTTGTCGTGTTAAATGTAAATATTCTTAGCAGCAGTGTCATCGGACATTTGTAATTCGGCGTGTTTCATTTAATTAAAATATGTATACATGCTACGAGTATGCGTTTCCGGAAGTAAATGAACTTGTTTTTAAGTAACATATTCGGAGGCTTTTTTTCATTTATGACTTTTATGAATACATTTAGGCATACGTTAATCACAAATAAAGGAAGGCTCATATTGTTAAAAGAAACATAAAGTTTTGAATTTTTTCTCCATAGTTTTAAAATTTTAATTATACCAATAAAAAGCAACACTAAACACTAAACTAAATACAACCGTTAATGAAAAATTCAAAAATTTGTTTTCATTTTAGCTAATCCTCAAGCCAAGGCTAACCTCACTCATAGATGGCGCTTCAAGAAGTTGGTAAGGAACGTTCAATATATAGAGGGCGCCATTGTGTTTTGTATTATAAATGTAGATATTTTGTATCTATGTAAGAATTAAAATTCTTAGTTTTAAGAAAAAGAAGGAAACAAGTTTACATCCATTTTATATATGTTTTAGTTAAAGTATAAATATAATTATTAAAGCAAAAAAATAAATTAGTACTTTTATCATTGTTAAATTGTCACTTTTTCAAACCTCGAATAATCGAGTTTCATTTAATATTTAACAAAAACGCCTTAATTCAGTGCAAGAAGAACTCGATCAGATTAATCATGCGGCGCGTGCTGACGTAGTTGATTAGCACGGCGTAGGCATAGCAGGTGTAGATGTAGGCCCACCACTGGAAGTGGTACGGCTCCTTGGATCCTCCGCCCCCTCGAAGGCGACCGAATCCCATGTATCCGTTCGCCTGCAGGATGTGGGCGTGGTGCCGCTCGGTGAGGAGGCGGCGGAATACCGCTCCGCTCAGGTAGACGACAGTCAGCAGGAGAATGAGGCGCCGCAAGTGCACCAGCAGCAGCGCCATTGTTATTTTTTCGACGATCTGCAGAAGTCAACTTGAGTTTTCATCACTAATTAAACAACTTTAATGGGAACATACCCTAGAAAGTGTTCCTTATAAATTAATGTTTACTTCTGCGTTTTTCGATTTATTTTTCGCATTTACGCGAGCTCTTTGCATTCCACCTTGTCGTTTTGTTTTCATCGCATTTTTCGTTTTCATCTATGGTGGAATTATATATAGAAATCGGGAAAACATTTTGGCTGGCAACACTTGCCAAAACTTTTCAAAACTATTTCTGAAAAAGTCCATTCCTAAAGCTTTTTATGTTTGGCGGCTGAAACATTTGAATTTGTTTTGTTTAATACGAAACTCTTATAATTTCAATTTGTTTATATTTTGTAATAAATTCCAAGCGATTCTAACAAAAATTGTCAGTGCTTGCCAAATCGTATTAAAATCCACTTCAAATGAAGCATGAAAAGCCTCTTCAGATTGCTATCAGCGCCTATGACATAAGCTATCTCTAAGTACTACCATAAAAAAATATCTAAAAAATCAACAGGCTGCATCCGATTAAGATCGATCGAGTCAGGGGCGGACGTCACGGGGTTATATAAATATATTTGATATTATGAAAAATGTAATAGTTGGAAAAATGTTAAATACATTTGATTAAATAGTATAAAAAAGTGTAATATATTTATCTGTGTACCTATTAAATAATTGAAAAGCCCCCATCAGCCCTTGCCTCTGCGTATACGCAATACGTATACGTAATGTTCCTATGAACGAAAGCAAAAGAAATACTTGAGACCCAGGCACACACTTCTAACAACAGCTCCATGCAATGCAACCTTGAAACGGCGATCAAATCTCTAGTAAATTGGAGCGGGAAAAAAGCAAACAAATCCGCTTGAAGATTGCAACACGCAGTGAGGTTGGTTAAGAACAACAGCTAAAGGCCGCGGCATAATACAATATTTAAATTAAATATTAGCACACCGACACGGAGCAGATCGCCGTCTGGAAAATGGGGAAAATGTGAGACGAATATGTAGCAATAGCCATCAATCTACAGCCGAGCGGAAAACGAGAAGTAAATAAAAAAAAACTGAACATAACCCAAAAACTATTAACTGCAAATTGGGGCTTATTGTATTTGGCGGTGACATGGCAACTAAAATAGAATGAAGTAAAATTATGTTTGATGTATTATATACTACTACTATATATATAAATAAAGTGTGCCAAGAAATTGTGTTTACATTTCCAAAGACTTTCCGGGCAAACAACCGCCTGTTAACTATGCATTCCAATAGAGCAATGTGTTAATAATAATAATTTTAATTTCACTTTTCAGTTTCTAAAACAATTTAAATTAGGAGGTCATAAAATTAAAACTTAAGGTTATTTCTATAATATATGGGCGCACAGGAAAAACGATTCAATGTGTTAACAATAATTGTTATAATTCTTTATCTTTATCTTTATCTTTATAATTCTTTAACAATAATTGTTATAATTCTTTATCATAGCCTACTTTCGTACTTTTTAAGTGAAAACGACATAAAGAATACATTTAAATGGTGCTAAAACAGAGAAAACAAAATGAGTAGTTACAAATTACATATTATACAAAGAAGCCAAACTTCGTTTAAAATTCGGATTAAATATTATTTGTTTTAAGCGCCGCCCCCCTTTTCGTAATCCCCATTCCCAGGGATACGAATTAGCATCCCTCCGCCTGGTAACACCACACTCGATTCGTTTTATTAACTAGCGTTTGCATCGTTTCATTGCATAATCTGTCGCTGAAGGCACGCCTCCAAAAGACCGCAGACACACTCGTAAATTACAAATTTGAAAATCGTACGAAATGATTGAAAGGCCCAGAGATCGGCCACTGGGATGCGGATGAAGATGGAGCTGCGTTCAGCGCAGAGATCGCATCCCATAGGAGCCGCTGGGCATGCACTGAAAATAACAAGATCGAGGTACTAGGGTATACATTTTATTTAAATATTTAGATATTAAAAAGTAAGTTATAGTTTTTCTTCACATGCTTTAATGAAGCAAGATAATTGATCTTAAAACATGTGAAGATTGTTAGTGAAAAAACATGGTAAAAGGTAAAACCAAACACTTCAAAAATTAAAAATCTATTAATTAATATTTATGTTAGTTTTCCTCATATTTACTAAATGTTCAAATATAATATTATGAATACATTTCAATTCTTTCAGTTTAAAGATTAAAGAATAAGAAATAATATAATCAGTATATCTATCCTAAGAACTTAATTTTATTCTTCTGAACGAAAAGTAACCAGTTTGATCTTATTATTTATAGTTTATAGTCCTTTTTTCATGGGTTATTTTTGCAATTAATAATTTGATATATTTTTTTCTCTGCAGATGAGTGACTGGGCAAGGGGTTGGCGTGGGGCAGCATGATTGACCGACTGCGTGGTGCACCTCGCTTTTGCTCCCGGGGATTGCCGGGTCTGACTTTTATGGCCGTCGGTGTATTTCTTTTTATTGCCTGCCCAAAATCCGTTTCTAGTTTTCCACCGCCGTTCCTCTTGATTTGTTTGCATTCAGTTTTCATTTTTCGGCTTTTGGTTTTTCCTTTTTTTTTCTGGGTTGCGTTGGCGTCGCTGCCGGCAGCACGCACTGGGAAAATATTTGTGGAAAGCATGCGAAATGCACGCCTGTTGTGGATCTTTTTTATTTTTTAATGCAGCGCTGAAAGCTATTTGTATCTGTCGGTCAGATTGGGTTAAGACGCCGCCCCTGCGTGTCTTTCGTCAAAGTGTCGAGCCACTTTGCCGGGGGCTATTAGCCCATTGATGCCGCTGCCTTTGGCTTTTCCTCCCTTTTTCTCTGGTAATTTAGCATCTTTGTCTGATTTATGGCAGGCATTCTATTTCACTTGAATGGTTTTTGGCATTTTGCGCATATTTAGTTTAAATGTTTTTACTAAACCCAACGAATGCCAGTTTTATTTCGTGTTTAGACGTCATCTTTTTAGCCGCACGTTTCCGGTGACTGCCGGCAGCAGTGGCAACTGCAAAAGTGGCACACAGATTTTTATTTTTAAAACCAGAACAAATATGCGATATGTGTCGTCGTCTTCTGCATGATATCTGTGATGCTTTCCTCGGGCATTCTGTGATACACAAATGAACCGAATAATGCCTGGGGCCAGAGGGTAAGTAAGTAAGTAAGGGGAATCTATGCTATTAAGAGGAATTCAAACAGAGGAAATTGAAAAAAAATTATGCAATAAGAAAAAGAAACGGGGCTCAAGAAATGTTAAATAATGTTCGAATGATTGAGAAATTATTACCCCAAATAAAACATTTTGCAATTTGGAAAGAGGTTTCTTGTTTATATTATTATTTAAAAAATTCAAGTTTTATTCAAGTACTAGTAAAGAAACAAATTTAAGACAGTGAAAATGTTCTTAATGTACATGAAAGCAAACTTGATATTATTATAGTAAGATGGCTAAGGACTATTTTACAGACCATTTATTTATTATTTCACCAACCATAAAGTGTATGATCTCTAATTGGCATATAAATCTCACGAACATGTTTGACTAAGAAAATTGTAATTTTCGCTTTCCTTCTAGACAAAGTATAATCCGAGGGGACACCTCATCAGGTTGTAGACCCCCGTCAATTGTTGGCCTCCCTTTCGGTGTCTTTCATTCATGGGAACATGACAGACTGCATCTGTATCTGTAGATGACAATTATCGTTTGCATCATACATACTTTTTTATGTTTTTTTTTCTGGATACCCCAGAACATGTTCCCCACCTTCCCAACTCTGCGCCCACTCATCGATTAGTCACCGATGCCAAAAATATTTAAATTAAATTATTCGACTAATAATAGACGGAAATAGCTGGGATGGAATGGAGCAGTCCAAATAGATGCAAAATACTTACGAGCTGCATTTTATGAGCATTACAAGAATTTGTACGCATTTCCTTACATTGCGGTAGTTGAAATCAAGAAGCTGGCACATATAGCCGGTTGGCCGATTTCTGTCAGATATATATGCGGAGCAGATATGTATATACATGAATGGGAAAAGATGATTCGATGATGAAGACGATGGGACGAAGCTTTAAATGCTCTTTGTAATTCCTTTGTTAGATACAAAATCTAAATTTGCTGTCATTATTTTAAATGTATGTCAAATGCTTACAACAGCTTATATAAATGAACTGGGCATAACACCGAAATGGCTGAATACTATTGACAAAAAATCTAAATAAAAGATCAAAGTTCGTTTGTATGTTATCTTAAAATTAATTTAAAATTTGAACAAAATTTCCAATGCTATTTGTTTAGAATCAATACAGCTATCCTTTTCCAAAATAGTTGTTATCTTAATTATTTTGATCAAAGAAATGTGTCCTTTTAATAGAAGGTCCGCCTAGGAGAGTCATCACAGTGTTGCATGTACAATTTTATTAGATTAGAATTTGAAAATAATATTTATTTCGTGCTTTTACTTGTCCGGTTAAGGGAAATCCATAGACTTCCTTGTTTGAAGATCTATTAGTTAAAAAAACATGTCCGTTTAAGGGAGAAATCAATATAGGTTGTCTTTTAAAGAGTGAATTTGATGGATTTTTAAGCAGTTAAATTTGTGATTAGTGGTAACTATTATACCCCGTTTAAGGGTATATTAAGAACTTTTATTTATTTCTCTATTGCAATTTACAAACGCAGCGATCGTCGACGGAGAAAGAATCGCCGAGAGCTTCTTCTCCGATTCTCTCGCTTGCCGAAAATACACGCACACCCAAACCGAGAGAGGCGGAGACTTTCCACCGCTCAGCTTTTCACGCAATTCAATGCGAGGCAGAAGAAAATCTCGGCACGAAAATATTTTCACAGCGGCCAGACAGTTTTCCTTTGACAACGCGCCGAGTCGCACACGCTTTTCATATCGCCCCGATTCGAATCGATTTTAGAGAACTGAAAACAAAAATCGCGTTTGCATGCGACAGAAAAAATGTTTCAGCGAGTGTGTGAATGTTGCTAAATTTATAAATAACAGCTTAAGTTGTGCTGCTCCCAAAGTAAATTGAAATAAAAGCAAAAGTGATGCGTCCGCCGTTGTCGTGAGGTGGAGAAAAAAGCGGAGATGGAAAATGGGAAAATAAGAAAAATATCAACGCATAAATAAAGGCGTCGCGTTCGCGATCGCGTCCGATTCTGTCGCATTCGCCGGCTGCATTCCCAAATAGATCGGGGCGCTATAGCCTATAGCTGGTTGTATGCCCGTGGGCACCGCAGTGCGAGTCTATATCCCCAACCTGGCCGGTGCGTGCCGGTGGATTATGTAAAGTGGCACACGGCCGAACCCAATATCTCCGTATATCGCCGAGCGCGAAAAAACACAAAGTAAAGGAAACGGAATGAAAGTTTACCCAAGGAATAAATGAAATGAAAATAAAATAGAGAAGGGAAGGGAAGAAGGGTAGAGTGTCGTGAAAGATCGCTAGAAATTTGTCGCACGCGCGCGATTTCAGTAAGTGCATCTAATTTATTTTGCATCTATTGCAATTGAGAGGCGTTCGCCGAGTGCATCCGCCAGATACGTTTTCGTAATTGTCGTCAGTGGTTCGAGTTGCTCCGTTTCGATCGCGCGAGTGTCCGCCAGATTGGATTACCAGCCAGGCCCAAAATAAATTATACAATTTTTGAAGGGGGCACCAGTGTATTGTGAACGTGAATTTTAATCGGCCCGATCGAGGATCGCTTGCCAAAAGCAACGTAATGTCGTCCTACCGCAGTTATGTAAGTACTAGTTAATGCATCGCCAACTATCCGTATCTGTATCTACGTACCCGTACTCATACCATATAGTGTGTATCTCGATCTGTGTATCTTTGCTCTGTGTCTTTTTTGCGATTCTTCGCATCCACGAATTTTGTTTATTTCTAATTTGTTGCCTTACCTCATGCGCGAGTATTTGGCAGATACATATGCATATATACGGCCAGATAAAATGTATCTGAGAGTTTGCTCCCGTATGTGTGAGCTCCAGTTTCATTGATAAACAATTCAAATACAAATTTGCTCATTGTCTGGTTTTTGGTTTGGATTTCTGTCTAGTTGATTGTTCTAATTTCCTATCCATACAAAGAACTCAAATTATGGCCGAGGTGTGGCAGGAGAATGACCGAATGGTTTAGTGTTTGAATAGCAAACAAATGGCTGAATAAATGGCTTTTATTTTGGCAGAGCAGGTTAAATGGCGATTTTTAAACGTATTTAATTTGATTTATGTTAGTTCTGACAAATGCACAATTGTTAAAGGATTTCTTTTTTCTAATATTTGACTGATTTTATGGCATTTTTTATATTGGACATTGAGTACTGTCAGCTCTTAAGTATATATTTTGATTTATTTATTGTTTTTATCAAATTTATATATAATGCTTTTTTTTTATTATATTTAGTATGTATCTAAGGTTAAACCAATATTAATTTTTAAAAAACACTTAAAATATTCATTCTAAGACAATACCCCAATTTAATATCCAGCTTCTATTTCGGTTGTCATTCCTCCTTTTTAATCGCTTTTCTTCTAATCCCCTTCATGTTCATCTCATTATATCCTTTTGTTCCCAGGCATCAAGTTTATGACTTCAGCTTGACTTTTGACTCATTGAGCATAAATCAATTAAATATTTTTCGGGTCTTAGAATCTAATAAACTGATCAATTTATGACCGGCAAACAACAAGTTTCTGCCCCCTCCGATCTACTTCATCCACTCCATAGTATCCCGAGTCATTTCTCCAATTATATTTAGAACGTTTCTAAAAATGTTAGGAGTAAGGCAAAATGATTTCTGTTTCTTTCACGTTGACGCACTCTTCTTGTTCTCGTTGGAGTTGGTACTTTGTTGAGGATTTTTATGGCCAGGAGGAAGTTGTAAATATTTATGACACGCATAAAGTTGAAAGTTCTTCGGTGAGAGCCAAGAAGCACGCACCACCTAATTAATTAACAAAGTGTGAATATTCAAGCAATTTGTTTTCAGGGAAGAAAGTATGAGGAAAAGTGAGAGGACAATTTCATCTTAATATATAGATTAAATTTACATATAATCTATATTTTTATTTTTGTTACAATTAACAACTTTTGATATAAGATAACTATAGCTTTCTTTATTAAAAGTAGAGTTCACGTAACTTTACGATAAACTTGTCTGAATGTCTTCATTTAAAAAACTAAAAAAATTGATCATTTGATTAATAACTCTTCAGTTCATTTGAATTACATCTGTTTTGGACATACGTTTTTCAAAATTAATTCTTTAAAGATTTAAACATTTTAAAAAATTAATTAGTTTGAAATTTGAAACTAGTCCAATACAAAAGTGTTATATTGGATTTGTGATTCATTTTATTTTGAATCTAGACCAGCTTTCCGAAACTTGGACGATCAGGTTTTATTTGAATCACTCATCAAAGCGTATCAAAATTTTTTTGTGTGTAGCAGAAAGGAAGGCGGTGCTAGGCGCTTCTCGAATAGGCTTCAAGATCGGGTTTTATTTAATTTAAGTTGTCTGAGTCTGAGATTATCCACCCACACTCACTTATCCAACCACCCCACCGCCAACTGCCATTTAACCACACACCACATTCACACTCACACACATTTACACGGAAAGGATATTTGTATAAAAAGATACAAAAATGCCGCGGCGTCGTCGTCCACGTTGCAAGGTGAATCCCTCGATAGCGCTGAGAAAGAAGAACCAGGAAAGTGCCTCCAATCGTCAGAAGGTGGAGCCGCCACGCCCACCGCCCTTGCCGGATCCGCCCAGCGAAGAGCCGCCGGAAACGGCCTCCACCTCGAGCGGAGATGCCGGCATCGACTCGGATTACAAGCTCTTCCCGGAACTCTACGATCGCCAGCCGCCGCTGCCCACGTTTGCGGATGTATTCGGTCAACCCATTTACGGATTGGTAACGAAGGGTTCGGATCCGGCCACTTCCGCCACAACGTCGCAAGCGGCGGGAATCCGGAGTACAGGCGATGGAAAGTTTACCAACATTCCGGCCACGATGTTGGGCGATCGGTTTGGCATCACTGGACTCTTGGCCGCCATGCGAACGACGCACACGGATCCAAGTGCCACCCAGCTGGTGTTTGGCGAGGATCTGACCACCTACGGACTGGATCTGGCCGCCCAGGGGGACATCTATGTGCATTTCAATGGACCCCTTACCCGCGAACCGCCGGACAGGAGCTCCATGGACTGCGCCCTCGAGCTGGGGATGCGAGCTCTGAGGGATGCCATGGACAGGAATCCGCAAAAGGCTCCAAGTTTGGATCCAGTCGAGCCGGAGACTCGACATCTGGGTCTTGTGGTCGGTGTGGGCCTGGATGGGACCAAGAAATCCGACCCGGAAACGAGCACGGATGCAGAGTTAGCCACTGATCAAGATAGGGATCCGAAAACGGATCAAGAGAGAAGCCAGGAAAGCTAACGAAATCGGGATCGACGCCGAGGATAAAAAGATTGACTATCCCAGTTAGGACAGCTTGGCAGTTGGATAGGTCTTTGAAAACTTGGTAAAATTGTTGATCTTCGTGAATTGGTGGAACTTGTTTGGCTCTAAATATAGAATCGACTTGGGAGTAAATATGGTTTTTAATTGGGTAAAGGTGGAGTTAGTTTTAAATGATGAGGATATTTGAATATTTTTCTTTTAACTATTGATTGATAACTATTATGATCACTGGATAACTTTTTATTTCTATACATAAAGTTTGAAAAAGTAATTTATTTGTAACTAAAGAGTTTTTCTTTAATGACAATAGTTTCTTAACTATTATTACCATAACTTGTCCAATATTGACATTGTCGAATAGTATATAACGTTAATAAATATATTCTATTATTTTGTTAATATTAATTTTTTATTATACTGAAAAGTATAAATATGATTTCATTATTTTGTTGATATTTATTTTTTATTATACTGAAAAATATTACTTGTTATATCCTATCTTTCACTTTCTTAACCACTGCCGATCTTTACACATTTTAGTTTCGTGAAACGCAATTTCGACACTTTTGACAGAGCAAACTAGAAAGGCATTTAAAAATAAATCATTTGTCTGGCACGCGAATATTCACTCGCCTCTTCGAATCATCTGGGGTCACAGTCTAAATACTCTGTGAGTGGATGGCTTTCCTGGTCGTGCTTTATGGGCCTTGGCCACTGACAGACGGGCGCATTATGGCGCATCCTGCTCCTGATCCCCGATCCCCGATCACCGATTCCCGATCCCTAGTCCCTGTATTCTCCTAATTGAGACCGCATAATAACGCTGTCAGAAGTGCGGCACTCTACTGGAATCGGCGGCGAACAAAATACACATGGCGAAGCCATTCCAGAGAAGATCCATTGGCCCATCCACACGATCATCCAGTCTCCTCCGGTTGAGTGTCTCCGTTTGCTTGTTTTGCACATTGTTGGCTATTTGTGTGTTTGGCATTCCATTTCACTGAGCGAAAACAATTAGCCGAGACTGTCTGTCTTTCTTCCTCGCTCCCTCTCGCTCACTCGCCAGTTCTTCACATTGGGCGGGCGCTGGAAAATGTAATAATATTATTTTTTATCCCCGTATAGTTGTCACTCGCCGGGATTGGCGCCACTTGGGACGGGCCCTATTTTAAGTGATTTAAATAGAGAAATTCCTCTGCAGCATTTTCATGGGCGAATTCTATTACAATCTTGGGAGTTCATTAAAGGTTAAGGGAACTTAAACAATTTTAGAATTAAATTGACGGTATATATTTTCCCCGCGATTCTTGCATCACTTATATATATTAATATATACTTAATAATGGGTATATAAAGTGGAAAATTTAACTATAAATAATTGGAAATTCAATATCTAATTATTATTGCAATGTATATTTTGTATATATATTGTTTTTCTCTTTTTAAGTAAACATTAAAATAACCGGAATAGCCATTATATACAACGCAAATTTATTTAAAATAAATGAGTACTTATTGGTCAAAAAATATATTAAAAATGGGATGTAACCATTCTGGGTTCAACAGCATTTCATCTGGTCATTAATGATAATTTGCAATAATTAGCCGAAAATCGTTTGTGTTGCCAAAAATCTCTTAACCGGTGACACGAATTTTGCAATGTTAAATGGGTGTCTGATTCTCAAAGACATAGTGGGTAAAACCCCCCAGAGACCTCCCTGCAATCCTCAATAAAGAAAGGGCGAAGTGGTCGGGGCCCCCGCAAATTTCATTATATTCGAGGAAAACTCAACGTGTCTCGATGGACGAGGGCAATCGTCTAATGCGCTGCGGCCGAGATTAGAAGGCAGATGTTGAAATAATCGAAATGAATCTGTTTACACGTCCAAATTAATTGAAAAGCGCGTGCTACAGCGCCATTTAATTGAAAATGAAATAGACGCAGCGGCCGAAATCCCAAACCGAATCGGAGGAAAATGCATTGGGCGAGTTCAAAGAGGCAGCAGTAGCGGTCCCAACCACAAATAGTCCATCGGGGAAATGGGGGACTATGGGATTCCTTGGCATCAGATGCTGATGCTGTTGATGGTTATGTTGATGCAGCCGATGTGCTGAGGCTGCCGATGATGCTCCTCTGCGGCTGACGATGATGAAATGCGTGCGAATAATTGTCGAGTGCACAGCTCATTGAAGAAATTCCCCTGGAAAATGGAGAAGGTGGTGCTGCGGGCATCAGGGGGCGGAATGTGGGGCAGCACTTTGTTTTCGTCTTATTTTGCTGGAGTCAATTGCTTTCGGACTCTTAGAGCGCCAATCAATCAAAGCCATGTGATTGCCCATCAGTTTCAATTTCTTTTGAATGAGTGCATGCACATCTTGCCAGCAATCCTCACAGGCCACAATGAGCTATAAAGAAATCACTCACTCACTATTTATTGGTAGGATTCACTGAGAGAATGAGTCTTAAATTTAGATTAATTTAGATTTGCAAAATCATCCATATTAATCGCTTAACATATTTATTTTTGGTCTATAGTTTAGTGTTATATATTTGGCCAATGAGGGGTCAAAGTACTTTTGGTTTTCACGACTCATGGCATCAATGAATCAGAAAAGGCATAGAAAAGACTTGTCTGCTTATATGAAATGTAATTGTTTCACATTAATTCTCAATTATTCTGTGGTATCACTAAAGTCTTTTAACCATTAGCTAATGATATTTTATCTGAAATTTACTGACAATAACTTTCTTTTTTCATTTTAGACCCCTTGGAAAACGAGCTTGGGCAGTTCCTACAAGCCAGGCAGTTCATCGGTGTGTTGCTTAAAATCTTTATCAAATCACCTGACTAATTTATCCTTTCACCCACAGTATGGCACTTCGGGCGACTCCACATCGCGATACACTTCGCTGGCCACGCCCACCTCCTACAGACCCTCGTTTTCTGGAGGAACGTACCGCCTCAAAAGGGATCCACCTCCACCAGCCACAAGTACTCCAGTTACAAGCTATGTCAGTCGCTATGCAAAGACGGAACCCAAAGAAACAGCAGCTCCAAGTGAGCGAAGCAGTCCGGTTAAGAGGTATACGGGTACGACTACCAGCTCTTTGGGGAAATACGTGCGATCTCGAGACCCGAGTCCAGTGGCCTTGGAACACACGAACCGCAACAAATCAAGGGATCCGAGTCCCGTAAACGATAGTGCCAGGAGTAAGCTGGGAGCCACATATCGTGGTGGTAATACCTCAAGTTCATCCTCTTCGGCCACAAGAAACGCTTACAGTAGTCGCTATGGATCGGGTTCTCGAATCTCGGGAAATGGAAGTGCCCTATCCTACCTGACCACCAGCGATTTCCATGCCAGAACTGCCAGCAGGGCCAAGGCCAGTAGAGAAAGGGAACGAGAGAAGGAGAAAGAGCTGGAGATCGAGGAGAAACCCACAGAGGTTTCCAAGGATAAGACTCCTGAGAAGCAGCAGGAGGAGCATCCCGCAGAGGACACAGAAACCAATGAGACCTTCATCACCATTTCCGTAGTCACTAGAGCCACTTCACCCACTTTGCCGGGCAGCACCACTGTACAGCGTACCCGTCGCATTGATCCAGCCAAAACCATCGAGAAGACCATCCAAAGATCCACCAAAAGACGTGAGACAACGGATCAGGAGATTCAGTCGGATAGACTGGATGATTCCACCAGATATCTTCGTTACAGTGCAGGAAGCAGCATAAGCTCGACATATAGTCCACATAGGGATAGGATCAGCAGTCTGCGGTATAGCGCCAGTCCTTTGAACAGTTCGGGATCAGGGAAATCGAGTTCAGTGGGCGATGGAAAACAGATTCAGCCAATACCAGAAAATGTATCACCAGCAAGAACCAATGGCTCTTTGAGCTCTGCCAAGTCTTCAGAAGCCTTATCTCCGCCTAGAACCAATGGATCTGTGAGTTCGGCGAAATCATCTGAGGCTCTATCGCCACCCAGAAGTAATGGCTCTGTGCACCCATCAAAGTCCCCAGAAGGTCTATCTCCATCAAGAAGTAATGGCTCTGTGCACCCATCAAAGTCTCCAGAAGGTCTATCTCCATCAAGAAGTAATGGCTCTGTGAACATATCAAAATCTCCAGAAGCTCTATCTCCATCCAGAAGTAATGGGTCGTCTGGGAACACATCAAAGTCTCCCGAAGCTGTTTCTCCACCTAGAACAAACGGCTCTTTGAGCTCTTCGAAGTCCACAAAGTCCAAGCTTTCCCCACCGAAGGCAATACGACTGAACTCTCGACAATCATCAGTAGAGAATTTGGTTAACAAACCACCTGCACCACCCAACAAAGCGGACTCACCCACCAAGACCTGCAGTTCCAGTTCGGGAAGTTCGGCGGTGAAATGGCCCAACAAGGACTTCCGAAAGTCCTCTTTAAATGTGGGACCCACTGACAGGCCCCGGAAGTCGCGAACTCCCAGTAGCGGCGGGGAATCTGAGGATCTACCCAATGGAAGTAGTCTAGAGCGGTCACCAAGTGCTGGATCCGAGGGTAGCTTAGCCTCTGGCAGTTCCTCCAAGAAATCGACCAAACTAAGCAATGGCAAGGTGCCAGGTGTTAGTTCGAAACCAAAAGCACACAAATCCTGCAGCGAATCAACCACTGGCAATTCATCCTCGGCCACCGCCTCCGCTTCGGATAGCGAGCAGCGGGTCAAGACCGTGAAAAAGCAGGCCAAAAAGAAGGCCACCAAAGAGGGCGGTGCTGGCAAGGTCACCGCCGCCGCCGCCCACAAGCCAAACAGCACCACTGAATCACCGCCCGCGGTGGCTGAAGTGGTGCCAGCCACACAGACAAGACTGAAGAAGCTATCGGCGGTATCGAATTTTTTCGCCAGCCGTCAGCAAGACGCAAATAACGAGCCGATCTTCCTCGAAAGCTCCGAGAGCTCGGGCGAACCGGAGGCTCTTTCGCTGCCAGTGATCTCGGGCATCTCGGCGATCTCGAAGATTTCGAAAATCTCTGGGATCAGTCTGAATACAGATTTGCGAACGAATGAACAGCGAACGACGCCATCGAGCGAAGCGAAACCCTCACCCCAAACGAATTCCCAGAGTTCGAGCACACGTTGTCCGCGAGAAAGCACCACGGGAACAGGGACTAGATTGCCCACCAGCACCATTAGCACCACCCAGGAGACGAGCCTCACGACCACCGCCAGCCTAACCACCTCCGAGCAGGAGGATCCCAGTTGGTGGCAGGACACCAGCTTGCAGATAAACACGGCCTCTGCTTTGGATCAAAACAATCGAGGAGAGATGCCGCCATACAGATTGAGGCACATTGATTCGGGGGAGGAGCAGGCCTGGTGGCTGCGCCAGGATGAGCATGCCGACGATGACGACACTCTGGCGGAGGAGACCCTCAATCCGCTGAGTGACGATGCCCAGGAGCAGAGCAAGGGGACCTGGTGGAGTCAGGAGGAGCAGGACTCCAGCAGCCAGGTGAAACTGATGCCCAGGAGTAGGCTATCGCCGGAAAAGGATGCCTGGTGGCTGCAGGAAGAGGAGGAGGATGAGGTGTCTCCCAAGGAGAATGGCGATCTGAACAACAACAGCGAGCCGCATGTGGAGGTGACCCTGAGACTACCCTCGAATGGCAGCCAACGGAGTTCCAAGGGAAGTGCTTCCAAGAGTGGAGGTAATTCCAAGAGTGGAGGCTCCAATCCTTGGTGGCTCTCCGGACCCGCCAGAAAGATGTTCAATGTGCAGCGCGTGGAGTCGGGCGAAAGAGCCTGGTGGCAGGAGGAGCCCGAAGAGGCACCTCAAGAGGAAAAGGAGAACGAACCACCGCCGGTGAAACCACCCACACCACCACCGCGAATCATCAAGCATTGGGAGTCCGGGGAGCGGGCCTGGTGGCTACAGGAGGATTCAGAGAGTGCCAAACTACCAGCTCAACCAAGTAGCGATGATGTGGATGTGCAGCCAGTGGTGGAGGGTCAGCAGGACTCCAGGGATGAAGTGGATCTGAGGCTGGCACCACCCACATTGGCATCTGAAGAGCTGAGCAGCTCCTTTAACTTCAATGCCTACTCAGAGCGACCACCTCCACTGGGTCAATGCGCCAGTCCCGTGCGCTGCCCCTCGCCCTACGACAACATTCCAAGGTCGCAAGTGCAGGAGGCGCCACCTCCTCCCACGCCCACCCTCACCCCCCTGCAGCCACGCTTTTCACCGCAAACACGGCGTGCCGGCGAAAAGCTCTTCATATCGCGACATCAAAACATCGATGAGCTACTGGGCGGGGCATGTCGCCCCCTAAGTCCACTCTTCTATGGGAACACTAATCCTGCGGAGGCCGAACTGACTCCTTTGGCCAGCAAGAACATGTTCCTGCTCGAGGAGGTCACTCCCGACCAGGTGCGAATCCACGATAGCACCGCCCAACTGCCGGTCATCCAACGAATGCAACGGTGAGTGGAAATATGATTTTGTTTAGAGTTATGAGAGAAGCTACTTTCCAGCAGAGTTGACTTCAGTATTATACATTTTAAGATAATAACCATTTCAAGTTAAGAGTCAAAGACGTAAATTTATATTTATTTACCTAGTGCGACAATCTAATAGATTTTGTTTTTTAACAAACGATATTGTCAACAAGGAATTATTTACTTTATGTTTGAAATCATCAAATCCCAAAGAACCTTATTTTTTAATTGGTATTTAATATAGAAACAAGGAAGCTTATACAAATATCTAGAAATAAATAACAAAACATTTTTAAGGAAGCAGTTTTTTAGTAAATAGGAAAAGACACATAATAAAATAGTCTGCTCTTTTTTATTTTTGGTAATTTACAAGGGTGTTAGTAAACAGGTGAGATTCTTTGGCAGTTGCTTCTGAGAAGAATTTTCAAAATAGGGGAAACTCATAAGATATACAAGTTCGTGAAAATGATGACGAAGAAAAAACTTTCGGAGAGAGCTTTCTTGTTTGTTGTGTGGTGAATTTGCTCAACATGTGGTTGTTAATCTTCCTCTCTTGATCTTGCAGCGATGTCGAGTGGTTGGAGAATGGCAGCAGCTTTTACGAGCCACCCAAACAACAACAGCAACAACAACAACAGCAGCCGCGCAGGGTAAGTGTCCGCCACATCCAACCCCCCGCCCCATTGGAATCCCCTAATTTCTAAGGAGGTTGCAAGCATTTTGGCAGCCTGCCCGTCTTGTTGCGATATATCGACTGCCGCCCACACTTCAGTTTATTTATACAGATACCCTCAGTTGGTGGAGTATATATTTGAAAGAGTATATTCGCCCGCCTGGCGGTGTGTCTATCACTTGGTTTTCTTTATAAACCCCTATAAGTACAATGATAACTTACTTAGAAAAATATTGAAAATTGGACCAAAAATTAATCAACGATAAAATTAAAATTTGAATGGAGAATCAAACCGCAAGTCTGAAGGGGTATGTCTCTTTAAAATCGGCTTAAATTTGGTAAAGTTATGGACTCTAGAAGTCCAATTTTGAGTCACTTTATTACAAGACATCGGAAAATAAGAAATAACTAACATGAAAATGGGTCAAAAATTTGATTTACGTTAAATTGAAAATTTTGAATGCAGATTTTTAGAGGATCGAATCACAAGTCTTTAGAGGTAATCGGATAAAAGTTGGTAAAGTTATGGACTCTAGAAGTCCAATTTTGAGTCACTTTATTTCAAGACATCGGAAAATAAGAAATAACTAACATGAAAATGGGTCAAAAATTTGATCAAAGCTAAATTGAAAATTTTGAATGCAGATTTTTAGAGGGTCGAATCACAAGTCTTTAGAGGTATGCCACTTTGGAATCGGATTAAATTTGGTAAAGTTATGGACTCTAGAAGTCCAATTTTGAGTCACTCTATTTCAAGACATCGGAAAATAAGAAATAACTAACATGAAAATGGGTCAAAAATTTGATCAAAGCTAAATTGAAAATTTTGAATGCAGATTTTTAGAGGGTCGAATCACAAGTCTTTAGAGGTATGCCACTTTGGAATCGGATTAAAGTTGGTAAAGTTATGGACTCTAGAAGTCCAATTTTGAGTCACTTTATTTCAAGACATCGGAAAATAAGAAATAACTAACATGAAAATGGGTCAAAAATTTGATCAAAGCTAAATTGAAAATTTTGAATGCAGATTTTTAGAGGGTCGAATCACAAGTCTTTAGAGGTATGCCACTTTGGAATCGGATTAAATTTGGTAAAGTTATGGACTCTAGAAGTCCAATTTTGAGTCACTTTATTTCAAGACATCGGAAAATAAGAAATAACTAACATGAAAATGGGTCAAAAATTTGATCAAAGCTAAATTGAAAATTTTTTTTTTTTTTTGTAAATATATGCTTTATTTATTGAATCTTCTCTATATGAGACTAACAATAAGTATATCAAATCTTAAGAATATAACTTAACTTACAGTCATGTAGACTGAATTAAGACTAACGGGCCCTAATATTTATTGCTGGGCTGGTAGATCGTTACGATGCAGACGAGTTCTGTTCGAAACCCGTCACCATGGTGCCCCAGTGATTTTTCGCAGGATTTTTGATTGTGAGCGCTGTATGATGTCAACGTTGCTGGAGTTGTAGAGAAGAACTTTAAAGTCCAGACACAGGGGTGATCGAGAATTTATAATCCAGTGTAGGCTGCTAGCTTTAAGTCTGAGATGTACTTTCTTGCATTCAATGTGCCTCCGCCAGGTTAGGCGTCTGTCGAGGTGGACGCCGAGATATGTTACATCGCTGGCTTGGGGAATCTGCGTACCATTCAAAGTTAGCGGCGGGCACGATTGTCTGTTAAGGGTAAACGTTATATGTTTACACTTTTGTTCATTAATTTTGATTCGCCAGTCTGATAGCCACTTTTCAACTACCACCAAATGATCAGCCAGTTAAGCTGTTGCTCTAGTTGGGCATCTCGAGCGGCTTAGGATTGCGGTGTCGTCAGCAAATGTGGACGTAGTCAGCCTCTCGTTCGTAGGGATGTCTGCTGTGTATAGGAGAAACAGGGTAGGGCCCAGGGCGCTACCTTGTGGGACTCCGGCTTCAATGTTATACTCGTTGGATGTCGTTGTATTGCATCTAACCTTAAAGACTCTGTGGTAGAGGTACGACTTAAGTAACTTATGAGTGTTTTCTGGCAGTAATGTTATGATTTTATGCATAAGGCCTTCAAGCCACACTCGGTCGAATGCCTGAGAGACGTCGAGGAATATCGCACTACAATATTCCCGATGTTCGAAGGCTGTACGAATTTCTGAAGTTATCCGGTTGACTTGCTCGATGGTTCCGTGGCTTTCACGAAACCCGAATTGATGTGCCGGGATTAAGTTTTGTTCTCTTAAATATGGTGTAATGCGCGTGAGCAGGCATTTTTCCAGTAATTTGGACAGGCACGATAGTAAGCTTATTGGCCTGTACGATGAGGGAATTGTGTGGTCTTTGCCAGGCTTCGGTATCATTATAACCACGGACTTTTTCCATTTTTTGGGGTAGTAGCCAAGTTTTGCGATACCGTTAAATAGCTTGCATATAACATCCACTGCGCAGTTTGGAAGTTCAATTATCATTTTTGGGGTTATTAGGTCGGCCCCTGGAGCCTTTTTCGGTTTTATTTGCTTCCTAATGACGTTAGCAATTTCAGGTGTTTGAAACAAAATCGGGTTAATTGCAATTTCAGAGCTAAACGGCGGTAGTTGAAGAGAGTTTGTGGCGGCGTTCGGCTGTAATACATTTCGTAGGTGTAAGGCAAATGTTTCGGCTCTGTCTTCGTCACTGCGGGCCCAAGTACCCGAGGAGTTTCTAATCGGAGTGACTGATTCTATCGGAGAGCTTAAATTTGGGTGAGCTCTCCACAAAGGATGCTTTGTACTGGTCGGCGACAGTTTCTCGATGTACCGGCGCTGCGCAAGCTCCTCTTCTTGCTTGAGGGTTTTGGTGAGTCTGCGGGTGGCATCATTATAGAGTTGCTTCGAATGGGGCGATCTGCAGGATTGCCAAACGCGTCGTAGACGTCGTTTTTCCCGAACCAGTTGTTCGATTTGCAGATTAGTTTTGTATTGGTTGCTACGCACGATTGTCTCTTCTGGTGTTGAGATTTTGGCTGCTGCCACGAGTACTGACTCCAGGGCATCAGCACAGAAGTCGAATTGAAAATTTTGAATGCAGATTTTTAGAGGGTCGAATCACAAGTCTTTAGAGGTATGCCACTTTGGAATCGGATTAAATTTGGTAAAGTTATGGACTCTAGAAGTCCAATTTTGAGTCACTCTATTTCAAGACATCGGAAAATAAGAAATAACTAACATGAAAATGGGTCAAAAATTTGATCAAAGCTAAATTGAAAATTTTGAATCCAGATTTTGAGAGGATCGAATCACAAGTCCTTAGAGGTATGCCACTTTGGAATCGGATTAAATTTGGTAAAGTTATGGACTCTAGAAGTCCAATTTTGAGTCACTCTATTTCAAGACATCGGAAAATAAGAAATAACTAACATGAAAATGGGTCAAAAATTTGATCAACGTTAAATTGAAAATTTTGAATGCAGATTTTTAGAGGGTCGAATCACAAGTCTTTAGAGGTATGCCACTTTGGAATCGGATTAAATTTGGTAAAGTTATGGACTCTAGAAGTCCAATTTTGAGTCACTTTATTTCAAGACATCGGAAAATAAGAAATAACTAACATGAAAATGGGTCAAAAATTTGATCAAAGCTAAATTGAAAATTTTGAATGCAGATTTTTAGAGGGTCGAATCACAAGTCTTTAGAGGTATGCCACTTTGGAATCGGATTAAATTTGGTAAAGTTATGGACTCTAGAAGTCCAATTTTGAGTCACTTTATTTCAAGACATCGGAAAATAAGAAATAACTAACATGAAAATGGGTCAAAAATTTGATCAAAGCTAAATTGATAATTTTGAATGCAGATTTTTAGACGATCGAATCACAAGTCTTTAGAGGTATGCCACTTTGGAATCGGATTAAATTTGTCAAAGTTATGCACTCTAGAAGTCCAATTTTGAGTCACTCTATTTCAATACATCGGAAAATAAGAAATAACTGACATGAAAATGGGTCAAAAATTTGATCAAAGATAATTGAAAATTTTGAATGCAGATTTTTAGAGGATCGAATCACAAGTCTTTAGAGGTATGTCACTTTGATATCGGCTTAAATTTGTCAAAGTTATGCACTTTAGAATTTAAATTTTGGGTCACCTTTTTCAAGTCATCGGAAACTTAAAAATAACTTATATGTAAATGGGTCAAACATTTGCTAAACGTTAAAATGACAAATTTGAATGCAGGGAGAATCAAAGCACAATTCTGAAAACTACACCTGGGTTTTATGGTAGTTTCTTATATCCACAAATATTGAGTACCAAGCGACTTCACTTATCGGCAGATATATTGATAAAGCCGTAGTCCCAGCCCCTCATGCCTTTCACTTATCGCAGAACTTTTGACACTCACCGCCCCGTATCGCTTACCTGCAGCTGGGCCTTCGATTTGAATACCTGGAATGACAAAGGGCAAGGCAGGGCGATCCGAGCTGCGCACCCACACCCAATTGAGCGTGGTGGTGCAGTGGTGCAGTTATCACCTCCGGCATCGCCAGCAAGATTCGGTCTTGAGTGACAGCCCTCAAGTGGTTGTGGCAGTGGAGGGGTCGGTGTTTTGTGACTCAACCGCGGTTCGCAGGCTCTCTTGTATTCTTAAAATAAGAAAAATCACAAACAATAAGAACTTTGTGATTGTGTAGTCGGCTATTCGATGACCTGTAGTTTGTACATTTATGTTTGCTGATAAGCATTAGGCAAACATTTTTAGTGTATCAGTTTTAGAGCTAGCACAACAAATCAGCAATCTTTCTTCCATTTAAGGTCTCCATGAAAGCAGACCTTTTCCGGAACTTACATTTTGAGTAAATTTCAATTTAAACTGATGTGGTAATTATGTTAAGCTGTTGATAAACTTATTACCTTATTATCTTTTCTTTAATTAAAAATCTGTCTTTCTTTGATTTAAGAAATCTGTTTTAAAGTAAAAGGCTCAGCAAAAGTTATAAAGTTTAAACTTCATAT